ATCTTAATTTTTTCTGCAAGAGAACCAGTAATTATATGGTTCACAAACTATTTAGTGCCTTTTGATGAACTATTGAAATAAACACGAAATACATAAGCTAGCTAGGCATGCTCAATGGGTAGACGATATTTGTGTTTGGTTGGATAGTATTCCAGACTGCATTTCTCAAGCTATCTGGCTTGATAATTATCTGTAATTGATTTATCCGTTTGTTTTAATGAAAGTTCTTTTAATATCAAAAAAAAAAAAAAAAACATATTAAAATATCAGGGACTTTAACAAATGTTGTAGAGATTGTTGATTAATCTGGAAATTGGACATTTAAACAAAAAGAGATCAGTGCATGAAATTTTTGTCTTTACAGAAATTCTATACACCAATTTCAGTAATCAAGAAGGTTATGCTTTCTCATTGTAGTTTATATTTTGTATTTTTAAACTCGTCACTTAGCCTCCATTTGGACATAAATTAATAAATAATTTATAATTTCAGTCAGAATCAAAAATTAATTTCACTATTATTATTCACGTATTTCGTGAAACTGACTACTGTTTCTTTTTATAAATTTGCGAAATGGAGCTTAGTTATTGAGTAATACTATTCATCACCACATGTGCTAAACACCAACTTAGATGACAATTATATGACATTAAATAATATGTTCAGTTAAATGCAAAGTCAAATGACTCATTTGATTGAACCTATAAATTGTAGCAACTTAAATTGAAGTTCTAATACCGTTGATGTTAGATAACATTATTATTCTCAAAGCTGAAAATGAAATGTAAGGAAGAAGTCGAAAACTGCACAGAGTCGGCAACTTTATAAATTGTATATGTAAGCAGAAATAGTAATTGTTTTGACGTCCACATTAACGGCTAACTTTTCAAGTAAATTTATAAATCAATGGTAGGACAAAAGATGAGTTTGACCTGTATATGCAAAACCAATTGGTTCATAGTACGCGTGTACCCCAGGATTATTATCAAGAAAATTCCATAAATAATGATTAAGTTTCGAAAGTCAGCAATATGACAATTCTATTTAACTGATTTGAGTAATTATTTCTGAATACGTCCATATACTTTTCTATCGGCCTGGGAAACTTAAATTGACAATGTAAACTTTTCTACCATAAAGATAGAACTGGAATCCGACAAGCCATTCCAAATATATGATGACATTGATCCTTTTTCACGACATGAAGAAGACCGGACCATCGTTTCACAGCAAAATAATGCCTTTTCATTTATCTAGAAGGAAACCAGTTTCAAAGCTGTCCTGTTTTTCATCTCTTGTTCTTGCATATTTTCTGTTCACCTTTTGTTTTGGATTAGTAGTAGAGGCTGACAAGTCAGTCACAAACATTGGAGCAATTATCGATGTTGATTCTCGTGTTGGGAAGGAACAGAAAACGGCCATGATCTTGGCCGTGCAGAGCTTCAACGACAATTCAAGGAATCACAGGCTGAATATTTATTTCAAAGACACCAGCAAGGACCCTGTTCAGGCTGTTTCTACAGGTGCTTTTATATATTCTCTTTTAACATGTTATAAAAAAGATAATCTTTGAATATTGAGGTTTCAATATGCCATATCAGGATGAAAGTAATCAGATAAACTCGAGCATGGCTACGGACTAAATATTTCCTCACGATCCATGTCTTACTATTATTGTCCATAAACCCTCTGGCACTAAACTGGTTTAAATGTTTTAAAATTTACGTTAACACCCTTTTTTTCCTCTTCCTTGAAAGTATGATTTCAATGATGAAATTTGTTTTCTTGAGCTCCAGCCCAAGAGCTGATTGGCGAGAAACAAGTGCAGGTTATCATTGGGACGCGAACATGGGAGGAAGCAGCTTTAGCTGCCGATGTTGGAAAGCCAGCGCAAGTACCAGTACTTTCATTAGCAGCAGCTTCCAGTACCCCGTTGTTGACCCAGAATCGATGGCCTTTCTTGGTACAAATGGCTACTGATAGCCTGGAACAGATAAATTGTATTGCAGCTATTGTCAATTCCTACCAATGGCGAAAAGTAATAGCAATTCATGAAGACAACAGTTATTTTGCTGATTCTGGCTTGCTACCTATGTTATCCGAGGCTCTTCAAAATGTTGGTGCAGCTATTGAGTATAATCTCATCCTTCCACCATTCTCTTCTCTATCTGATCCAGAGGGGTTTGTTCGACTAGAAGCAGCCAATTTAATGAGGAAGCAGTCTAGGGTTTTTATCGTTCTTCATTCATCCTTACCACTGGCTACACATTTATTCAGAGAAGCTAAGCAGATAGGACTAATGGGTAGAGATTCAGCATGGATTCTGACAGACTCCATTTCGGATTTTCTGGATTCTGTTGATCCCAATTTGGTCACTTCCGCACAAGGTGCTATAGGGATCAAGAGCAATTATTCAGAAAGCAATAGGCATTTTCTAGACTTCAAGGATAAATTTCGAAGGAATTTCAGTCTGGAGTACCAAGACGAAGACAATTGGAATCTTGGAATCCATGCTCTAAAAGCATATGATAGCATTACAGCTATTGCGGAAGCTGTGAAAAGATTAGGTGGGTATAATAATAGTAATCCAAAATTGCTGCTCAATGAAATTGTATCCAACAATTTCGCTGGACTAAGTGGTGAAATTCGTTTCCATGGTAGAAAATTAAAGCAGAAACCTGTATACAAGATTGTTAACATTGTTGGAAGGAGTTATAAAGAGCTAGGAATCTGGTCATCTGAACTTAGCTTCTCAGAGAGCCATGTGGAGGAGAAGGGCAATATCTTGGTAAATTGGCCAGGGGAATTGGACCGAGTCCCAAAAGGGTGGGCAGTGCCTACTGATGCCCCAATGAGAATTGGAGTTCCACAAGACGATTCCTTCCCAGCGTTTGTAATGGTGAAACGTGATCAAAAAACAAATGAAATGAAATATGATGGTTTTTGCATTGATATTTTTGAGGAAGTGATAAAAATAATGGGTTATCCCCTGCATTATGAATTTGTGCCCTTCGATGGTAACTTTAGTGAACTGGTTGGGAATGTCAGCAATAAGGTAATACTTTCATCTGAGACATCCTTTTTTTCAAAAAATGATGTCTAATATTTCCTGTTTTTCTAATTGGTGTATGCATGCAAGCTAAGTTTCTTCAGTAGAATTCCTGCTTACATTAGATTGATCCATAAAAGTATATGTTTGTAATTAAAAAGCATATAATCTGCGGAAGCCCTACATTTTAACACCCTGGTCCCTTCCTTAATAGTATTCCTAGAAGCGAACCCTGATTAGTTTGTAAAGAACCATTTCAATCAGAAGAACATATGAAAAAGAAGACTTAATATGCATAAGATTGTTTACAACTTTATTGAATGATGACCATGGCCCAGAACACCTAGCAGACATTGTAGTTAGTGTTTATCCAAAGAACAGATAACAACTATCGAATTACAAATTAATAACTGCACTTCTGTAGGACTATATTATGTGGCGGATTCTATGAATGCACTTGGACTTGAATTTAATTTTTAATATAATCTTTTTCAAGGTTGTGCTACTAGTTCATGCTAGATCTTCTCATCTTGTTGGACTGTCCTTTGGTTTGAATTTGTTGATCCCAAGTCTTCTTGATTACTCAAATTGTTTTGACTGATTTTGAATTTATGCGTGAATTCACAACCGTATCACTCCAAGACTTTATGATCTCCTTATCACTTCTTTAATCCTAGTGGCAAGTTGTGTGATGTTGCTAACACAGTCAACTTTCTCCAGCTAGTCATTAAGAAATATGAAGTATTCAGCACCTAGAAAATGAAACATATTTATGTGATAACTAATACTTGTTTTTTTGCGATTCACATTGCATGAAAGAACCTTGATGCTGCTGTGGGCGATGTAACCATCTTAGCCGAGCGGTCAAGAATTGTAGAATTTACTCTACCATTTATGGAATCTGGCTTGTCAATGATCGTTCCAGTCAAAACTGAACCCCAGATGGCGTGGATATTTATGAAGCCTTTCACTAGGAACATGTGGATGGTTACTTTAGCCATTATATTCTACACAATGTTCGTCATTTGGTTTATGGAGCATCAGTGTAATCAAGAATTTAAAGGGACATGGAAAGATCAACTTGGAACTGCAATGTGGTTCACATTCTCTTCTCTATTCTATGCTCATAGTAAGTATCTTAAACATTTCGTGCATCTTTAATAATATGGATAGGAAAGCGTTGCCTAGTTTTCATGGAAGAGAAAGAAACTAATCTTGTTCGTCGCACTAATCTTGTTCGTCGCACTATTCAGTCTTGTCCTACCAAACATGATTAGAGATTTAACATTCTATCATTCTGAACTATATCTGTTGCATATCTGGGGCAATATGCTTATATTTTTCGGGTTTTATATTACACAGGAGAAGAAATTAAAAGCAACTATACAAAACTGGTGGTTGTGATGTGGCTCTTTGTTGTGTTGGTATTAACTTCAAGTTACGAGGCTAGCCTAACTTCAATGCTGACTGTCTCACGACTTGAGCCAACTGTGACAAGTTTAGATTGGATAATGAAAAATAATAAAACAGTTGGATGCGACGGTGACTCTTTTGTAGAAGATTATCTGAGGAATGTAATTAAACTTCAAAATATCAAACCAATAAGCAGCCAAGAGCATTATTCGGAGGAATTTAAGAAAGGAAATATTGCTGCTGCATTTCTTGAACTCCCTTATCAGAAAATTTTTCTCAAAAATCACTGCAAAGAGTATAAAGTGACTGGACCTACCTACAGTTTTGGAGGAATAGGGTTTGTAAGTATTCCTTAACTTGTGATACTAATTTGAGTTGTCATGTCTTTAGAATCTTCTGCAAGTATTATTGGAATTAACTCATCAAGTACTAAAAAAATTTGTGGTTTTTTTCAATTTTCATGTACAGGCATTCCAGAAAAATTCCCCAATAGCTCGCGATGTTTCAGAAGCCATTCTAACTTTAATGGAGGATGGAAAGCTTAAACGTTTGAAAAATAAATGGTTTGATTCACCAGACAGTTGTTCAAATTCTGATGCTGGCTTAGAAACAGAAAGATTGAGTTTAAAGAGTTTCTGGGGTTTATACCTTGTTTCTACTGCCATTTCCACTTTCTGTTTCCTCATTTTCGTTCTTCGATTGTTGAAAAAGAAATTCAAAGACAGCAAAGAACATGCATACGATCTTGCTCAAACTGTTGAGGCTGTTCCTAACACAATTGTTAGGTTGGGACAGTATTTTCATGGTGTAAGGCCAAAGTCTCTAAGGAGGAGGAGAACATTTAACAAATGGAACTCTTCAAAGATTGAATTAGTTAGTCCTGCTGATCCCTCTCAGATTTTTCAGGCCTCCTCCCTGCAGAATTCGGAACTCCAAGAGATAATTGAATAAAATACGTGACTCGGGAACAATGGGAGAAAATGTAGAATAACTGGAGGATGCTAATTATATCTCATCTTCTCTTTGAACTTCTACGACATATTTGGTGAGGTTGATTAAACAGTATTGTAATGTATTAAAGTACTATCAAGTTCAGTACGATCCTGTGTACCAATCATACCCTGAAACATACTACCTCAAGGAACCTCAGAAAGGTGCACCGAGGTGGCATGCCTCCCTGTGCCCCCTACAACTAGTCTTTAGATTAACTAATCAGTACATCTATTGAGTCTTCTCTAAAGTAAAGAATGTGATGTAAAGAAATCCTGATACTGTTTTTTAGTTGTTCATTATCATTTGCAAAATGAAAAGGAAACTGATAGATTATGAACATCCTACTTTGTACAAATGCATATCAAATAGAATTATTGAAATTGTCTGTGAGCTGTGTTAGTGCGTTTGGTGTGGGTGTGAAAATGTGTTGTGTTGTTTGGTTTGAAGTAGTGTATCAGCTGTCTTTGGCTTAGAGGTGGCAAAATGTGCAGGGCTGCTCAGATTTGGTTGGCCTGACAGGTAAAAGGCATGTTCAAGCCCCATCAAGGGCCGTGACAGGCCTGGTTATTGGTTTATACAAAAATGGACAGTGCCCGCCTGATTCCTAGTTTGGCATTTTGATTGAATAGACCTTCGATTGAAATGTTCTGTAGTTTTTACTTAAATGAATGTGATTGTTTTGTTCTAATTTTCCTTTTTTAACTTTTACATCGTCTAATGGCCAAGTTAGAGGACGAATTTGTTCATTTAAGTGACTATATTAAAACGATCAGTAGCAATTTTTATCGCATCAAACAGTTACTCAATCTCTTGTTGAGAACATAATTTTGAGTAACGAAGATGAACAAAGGGACAACTTCCAAATAACAAGAAAGTTGAGTGACTAATTTGACAAACAAAAAAATATAGTACTTGAAATTCTTTATGTAAGTTCATTAGTTAGGCGCCCATACCCCAAGATTGATGCGAAGTCGTATACCCAAGACTGCAACTTTATCATCCGTCTTGATGTCAACAACATCATGCTGTTGTCTTTTGAAGCTTATTGGATTCTATGTTAACAAGTATGGTGAATTTCGAATCAGAATCTAACTCAAAGTGGAAGTTAGAAACAATATTTCTTTTGTGCACAGAAAAGTCCTAAGTCGCCGTCACTCATTTATTAAAAATTGTGCACGTATAAGATTTTAATGACGAAAAATAATTAAATGATATTTATGCAACTATATCTAATAGTTAAACTTTTAGATCAATTGGTAAAATATGATAATATCCTCAACATTGAATAATTGCTCAAGCTCTTCTATTTGTGTTTGGATTTTCATGTTCTAAATTGCATTCTCCAGTTGCATTGAGCCATCTACATTCTCAGTGTTATCATGAGATATTTCTTTTGGCACTTGAAGTAAGAATATAGGCTTTTGCAACTCCCTCAAGTGTAGATGTTTATATACTGATTGAATTGGAAAACATATCACCTCTGTGATTTAATGCATAATTTTCAAGTTCAATGTTGTTGATAACCTCCAAGATACGATCTTCAACAGCATTTCTACCCAGTATTTCATTTTTCATAGGTCACCTTTCGACTCTATTGTTTGCTAACTGGGCTAACTTCCTTAATAATATTTGTCGAACTAATTAAGTCGCCAATTGTTTGAGAAGCATGGTCGCTGGCCAATTATAACTACAAAACAAATAACGGGTCGAAATATGGCTTTCAAATTAAGTTCCGAATTACATGATCCTGCTAAAGGGAGTGGCGATGCCATACACAAAAAGGAAGAGACTCATAAAATGGTAGAGGCAAATAGAGCTTTTGCATATTTTCGTTAATCCATGAACATGATCTATACATCTCGATCGGAAAAAAATCAAGAGAAAAAGAAAGAATCAGAATTGATCAACTTGTAAATCTGGCACGGGGCGTGGAATGTTTTGATCCTTTTGTTCCGGGAGGAATAGCTTCTCATCATATTGTAGCAGGGACATTGGGCAACCGAACAGACAGCAATTTCCATGTTTTTCCTTTAATTAACACCCACTCTCCTCTCTTGATCTGCTACTTATGAAGCCTCTGATGCTGTAGATCATCTCCTGCCGGTGCAATTTCTTAATCAATTTAAGCCACATTTCTAACACCAGATATGATTGAATTTGTTGTCCTTAATTTATGATGCAGCTGAGGAGCTAATTGGCAGGAAACAGGTCCAGATTATTGTCGGGACGAGACATGGATGGAAGCAACCTCAGGTGCTGATGTTGGATCAAATGCCAGTTCATTCATCAGAAGCAGCTTCCGTTGCATCCATGTTGTCCAATAATCGACTTTCTTGGTACAAATGGGTACTGATAGCCTGGAAACAGATGCATTGTGGCTATTGTCAATTACTGCCCGGACAAAAAGTCAGCAATTCATGAAGAAAGTTATGTCGCTAATTTTGGGATGAATACTCCGCTGTCTAAAGCTCTAAAAACATTGGCTCAGAAATTGAGTATGACATAGTCGTTCCACCGTTCTCTTCTCTACCTAATCCAGAAAGATTTGTTCAACCAGAGACAGAAAAGTTAACGAGGAAGCAGTCTCGGGTTTTTACTGTTCTTCAATTGTCAATACATTGGCTACTCTTTTATTTAGAGAAGCTAAGCAGATAAGATTAATGGATAGAGATCCAGTATGGATTCAGACAGACTCTATTTCTGATCTTCTTGATTCTGTAGAACCCTCTTCCATTTCGTCCACAGAATGTGCTATAGGGATCAGGTCCTCAGGAGCTATCACTCGGAAATAAATGGACCTTTCCCAGATGTAAGGGATCAATTTCGAAAGAATTTCAGACTGGAATACCAAAATGAAAAAAATCTGGATCGTGGAACCCCTGCTCTTAAAGCATATGATAGCATTATAGCTATTGCTGAGGCTGTGACAAGATTACCTAGTAACAGCACTAGTACTACTAATCCAAATTTACTGCCCAATGAAATTCCTAAGTGGCAAAATTCGTTTCCCTTGGTGGAAAAATATTACAGAAATATATATTCAAGATTGTTAACATTATTTTCTGGAGTTATAAAGAGCTTGGCATTTGTTCCTCTGCTTGCTAATAGATCTCATTTGTGGAGTTCACTCAGCTCTTTTCTGAGTCAAGCTCAACTGTGGAGATTACAGTGAACACTCGATCTCAGAGGGCATATACATATATTCTTGAAGCCTTTTACTCTGGATTGTGGGCAGTTACTGGTATTAAAACACGAGAGAAGTTCTCAAGGTATTAAAAGGCTTTTGATTGACCAATAATGACTAAAGATGAAAGAGATTGATTCTAATTGCTTGAGGATTTTCATGTGTTTGGAGATTACAACAATATTCGGACATCAACAAAAGGATAACAATAACAGAGTTCATAAGGCTCAAGCAACCAATGTCATCTTACCGAAGCAATAACCGAATTCAACAGCCAACAGATTCAGCATATGATAAAATCTCCAGCATACAATAACATATATATATATTGAAATCAGTATTCACCAATCTCCAACTAGCCTAAGCAAAACATGGATAAATCGATAGAATAAAGAACCCATGCCTAGCCTGAAAAAGGAAACTAAGGCAGCAAAACGCTCCTTCCA